ATTCCAAAAACGGCAAGCATGAATTTTTTTTCAATTTTTCCCCTTGCAGCAACCGGAAAAAGCAGTTTAACCGCGATCTAGCCATTGCTCACGGGTATTCGGATTTTGCCACTAAACCCACTTTTTCATATTAGAAGGTTTTTCAATAAATTTTCACAAATTTCTTCTCATCTGATTGCTGAGGAGTAAGTTCGTGAGGGTCCAGTCTACTCTTTTTCACCTTCCCCATGGAGAGTAGATGGCGACTAACAATATATTTCGACACACCAGACTCCTTAGCATGTATTTGTGGACGGATTTTACTTAACAGCTTCTAAGTATCTTGAAACCTAAAACCTTAAATTTTAAAAGGAGCTTAACTTTTTTTTTCTTGGTCGATTTAGAATTTCAAAGAAAGAAAATTCTTTAAAATATTCATTGATTTAAGATTATGAAACGATAGTTTACGACTTTCTAAAATTAGGATTTATTATGATTGATGTATTTTACCAATGATTTATGAATTTATTTATTGCTATATAGAAAAAATACATGTAGAAAAATTTACGAAAAATTGACAACAAATACCTCAGATCTGTTTTACGCGAACAAATATTAAAGGTTACTGGTATAAGCCTTTATGTGTATAAAGGCAGGACTTCCTCATGAAAAATTCCTTAAACTTTGGTAATTTGGAAAGAAGAATCGATGGGTTTGCCAACTGTTAATTAACACTAAGTCAAAAACAACGGTTCTCAAATTCGAAAAAAAATCGTGGCATGCTTAAAGCGGCATTGCAATAGAATCAATTTTTCGTTTAATATATACATATATAACCAAATAAAATTTCGCCCTAATGTTAACGTAAATATAATTGATTTTAATTTTACTTCCTTATTAATAAACATAAAGTTTTTTTAATTATTTTTGTTGTTTTTTTTTTTGTTCTTCCCTACCTCGCCTCTTTAGCCTATACGAAATTTTCCCGGGCCGGAGGATAAGGGCGGAGAATTTAAAATCCCCTCCAGCACCGGGACGCGAACTCGTACTTTTTTTTTAATCTCATAACTTCGATATATGGTTGCCGGGCAAGTCTCGGTGCTGTGCACACGCGTTAGTCCATTCGGCCTCCTCGCCCCCTAACATAAAATTATTGATTTTTATAAAGTCAATCCACTGAATTGACTATTTTGACACTGAACAGTAAATATTGACAGTTAATAACATTGCTACAGCACCCATGGTCTAGAGGAATATGCAACACACAGCACTACCACCAACCGATCAAATCAGCAGTAACACACAGGGGTTCGGCAGTAATACACCGCGTTTAAACGATACAATTAAATGTTCATTTAAATCGTGATTGAAAACATGATATAATTTAAAATTAATTAAAACCATTACAACAATTGATTGAAATTTCAATTTCATGTTATGAAAACAATCAATTGCCGTATTTTCGTATTCATGTGTTCTTCCTTTTTTATTTTCATATATATTACAATTATTGATTTTATAAGTAGGATTTTTTTAAATGAATAACTGCATAATCTATTTTGATTTATAACTAACAATAAAGGAACACATTCGTAACCCTGTCAGTCTGTTTCAAGTCGAATCCATGTGGTATTGAGGGTTTATTGCAAATAGTCATTACATAAAATTTCATAAAATTATATAAATGAGTACTGAGATGATTTTTTCACTCTATAAAATCTTAAGATTGAGAATTTAATGTTCTCCTTAGGGTTTGGCTCATATACTGTGTTTTTGTAAACGATAAACAAGGGCGAAATTCATGAAATTGTGCTTCAAAATTCTACATCATAAATGTTCTAAATAACCCAAAGATATCACCTCTTGCCGTTGTTAATCCGCTGTAGTTGACATTTTCAAAAATTGTTTGGGCTGGTACCCACAACAATTTCAAAAGATTTCTAACACACAAACTTATTCAATTGATACGATTTCAAAATGGCTCGTTTAATCTCGTTTAAAGCTGAAGATACGTTAGGGAATAGTAAAAAAATAAGCATTAAGGATTACAGAAATAGTGATTAGGTACTAATTTTATCTAATTCCATTCACTAGTTTCTGTTGCGAATGAGCAAACGTATTTTCTACTTTAGGCCGATACTTTTTTTAAAAGTTTCAAAAATGTCGCCTAAAGTTTTAGAAATTTGGGAAATAGTGATCAAATTTCATAATTTAAAATTATAATTAACAACTCGATTATTCTAATATCAAGTTTTTGCTTTCAACACCTAGAAAAGAATGTTTTAGTAATCAGTTCAAATTTTCAGAATCTGTTTTTTCACATATTACATTTTAGAGAACCTAAAAATCTATTTAGTATGTAGTTTAATAACAACTCTTTGTATCGTAATTGTCTCTTGAATATGTGGATCAAATATTGTCATTTTTACATTTTTCTAAACAGATATTACTCCCCCACTTCCTGGATACTTGCGCGTTCAGTAGGCGAAGAAGTGTTTTTCTGAAGTGATTATGAAAAAACATGCCTAACACACTTCCTTAAGTTCTGTATGGTCCTATATATACCAGATCCCAGAGAAAAATTTTTTCAAAATAAAGTTGTGAAGAAATTAATATTTTATGAAAACAATCAAACAAAATAAAAACAATCTATTTATAATATTTTTATTTTTAATTTTGGTTTATTTTTTTTATTCACACCTGTCATAATGGTAATGACAACCAATGAATGTGAGGTTGATTCGAAAAAAATAATGTCATGAAAGGCATTTCGGCGATCAGTGCCCAGCGGCACCTCACTCGGCGTGATATCTACATTAGGCGAGGAGGTCCCTCATCCAGCTCCTCTTCAGTCTCCTACAGAATAATATTTAAATACTCATTTTAAACATAATTTAAATAAGTATTTAACATATTGATATACTCTTTTGGAAATCACATTAGATAAGAATAAAAACTTAAATACATATGGAACAAAAGTAATGTTTAATTGTCATATTAAGCCTTGAGGTAAATACATAGCAGGCTGAACCCCGGCAGAAGCGGTACAGATACCAATGCCCGTGCTTAATCAGAGAAAGGACTAATTTAGATGGAACTGGATATTGGATATAGAGGTTTATATAAGACGATACGAGTAGTTGCTATAAGCTCGTTTAGATTTCCATCACATAAATAAGTTTTAAAAAACTTTCTTCCGAAACAAAAAAAAAAAAACTTATTGCCAACAAGAAAAAGTTACAGTAATTGGGTCACCCATTTTTTTTTTTTTTTTTTGTAGTTATTCAAGGAAAAATATTAGACAGAGGGGGGGGGCTCGTTCTAATGGACTCCTAATAATTTCTTTACGTTACATAAAATATATTCCCAAAAAAATCACTTGTGTGGGATTAAATAAACAAATATCAGCGAGCGATCTTTTTAACAGAATTTACGTTAGAAGCTTATTGTAGTTATAATTTATTTTCGTTTACACTTATATTATACTGCAACTTATACACAACTACAGCAATGAAAAACCAAATAACTGTAAGGCTGTCCCAAATTTATTTTTTTCTAGTCTTATATGTTCATAAATATGGCATTTCAAAAACAAATTCAATTGCTTTTCTCTTACTAAAATTTATCAAAAAAAAAACCATCGATTGATTCATAAGTTTTCGTGAAATTACTGAGTAGAAGTGAAATTACTGGCATTCAGTTCCCTAAGAATAACTACAATGAAAAAAAATGACAATTGTCTGGTACTATAAGAAAATAAGAAATAAACGGTTAACATAAAATAATAATGTAACCTTAAAATTGTACAAGTAAACATCTTAATTTGTACATAAATATATATATATATATGAGCAAAATAAATATATATATGTCAGTGTATTCACATATTTGTTCTGATTAACAATATAGTTAATATATAAGTAACAGTAATATAACAGTCTAATGAAGGTGTCAGCTGTTAAATACGAAATCTTGTTCTTCTTTGTAAATTTGGAAGATTGATAGCTAAGGAGGTGGAAGAATAATAGTTGTTTAAATATGGTTAAGGAAGAGGATTTGCGTATAGAGGCAGGTATGGAATTCCAGAAGAATGCAGCACTCATGGTAAAGATTTTTTTAAAGGAAACGGTTCTATGAGAGGGAACAAATAGGTTTATGGACTGGTATGTCGTATTAAACGAATAAACAGAGAAATTGTTGTAAATGTTATATATAGAAAGTACTGTTATTTAATTTTTATTTTGAGGATTCAATTAGAGAAAATAGTTATAGACTTACGTAATGAAAATATTTAGAAAAGATAATATAGCATAAAAAGCGCGATTAGAATACTTTCAGTTTTAAGGGTTTTTCCACCTCAGAACCATTCTGTGCGACGAAGCAAGGGCAACGTTAGAGATTAGGAGAAACCAACCTTCTATAACCTTCCTTAGTGCTTCCTACAGCAATATACCGTGGTAAAAACCCCTTTTTATCAAATTATTAACATCCGTCAGAAACTTTTTAAATAGCTTAATTTCATCGTAACCTGCAACTATTTTTATTTATGAAAATTAATGCAATTGGAACGTTTTCTATATGGAGATCAGTAATCTTTGTCTATTTAATTATGTATTACAAACTCTTGTATTACAAACTGCTTTCGACTTGAATCGTAAAATAATTTGAGCACAAAATGGAGAAAAAGGGTAGCATACAAAAATATTGGACCCTTTGACGTGACTCCACCCCCTAAAATTTCAAAATAACAAGCTTATATAGGCCAAACGGTCCTATATATTTGTAGGTAACCTTTCTTCTCGATTTTGTGATCAAATTATCTTACGATCCAAGAGGAAAGCAAATGGGTATTCATGAGTTTTTACTACCTAATTAATTAGACAAAGTTAGCTGATCTCCAGATTGAGCCTGTCGAATTGAGAATATATAAATTGTCATCTCTCCACACCTCGAGTCGAAGGAATCTGAGGCAAGATTTTGCCCCGTGCCTCAGTACTTCTTGCTACGCGGCTGCCATTACTATGTACAACAACCTATTGGTAACTCCTCCGATTATGTTAATGATAGCCTTGATCTACCACGGATCAATAGGACAATCAGCCAACATGGTTGCCCATCCCCTTCTAACACGTAACATCTTCATGTCATTGTCACTACCATACTGAATCTCGTATTAGTAGTAGTAATGTCAAGATGTTTTTGCTAGTGAAATTATTTTACTTCAAAACTGAAGAAGAAGGCAGACAGGTAGTGACTTATATATTTGATAGCGAGGTAGCTTTATTACCTAATAAAATAGTAAGGCTATAATAAAAAATACAGGGGATTGTTGGGCGCCAGATTGTGAGATAACCAGTAAAATAAAACAGGAACTGAGGTGTAATTCAATCTAATTCATGGTTCCTACCCATTTTGAAAATTTAAATCTCCGTTTTTTTTCTAGTAACCCCGAATAGCAACAAATTTGCAATAATGACCATAAAATTAACAACAAAAAAACGCATAATAAAAAAATAGTTCGCAACTGCTAGAGAGCACAAAAGCCGTAAGCGGTGGAGAATGAATTTTTTAATCAAAACCACCATTTTGACACAAAATATAGTTATAGTAATGTCAAATTCCCAACATTACTCGACTGATTAAAATTCCCTACATATTCCCGAATTTCCCGATTTGCGTTGATAAATTATCAATTGAAGTTTGACAATTGAATATGAAATAGTCCCATACTTGCAAGTTGAGTCCCTGTTCCCTGCTTGGAAGTACATCCAGCTTAGCGAAATAGTTTCTGTGTGTGAATAGCCTACCTCAAGAACGAAAAGTCGTAAGAAACTGAAATTATGTATATAAGATATGTTTGGGATGTCACAAAAACTTTTCGGCTCAAATCGACCAACCGGAAGTGGCAATTTATATATACATGTGCCTGTGGCACTATATACATATACATTCATAAATGCTAGCGATTGTGTTATTTAATACTTAACGCTATAGATTCCGGCTGTATTAGAATTAAAACTTGAAAATAAATCTGTGCTTAAGCAAATACAAATATGATATAATGAAAAATATAAAATATATTAACATAAAGAACTTCCCATATAGTGAGAGATTTAGTCTTTAGAACAGATAACTAGCCGAACCTTAAAAGCGAAGTTGGTGGTTCTTACTTTACCGTAAATCTGTCTCCTGCGTTTTATTACGAACATAGCTATTATTTTTTTCCCCTATTGGTACTACAGACCTTGTAGATCTTTTGCCGCCTTAACAAGCCTACTCCATCTTTACCTATATTGGACTATACATTCCAGTAATATGCATACAGTTCAATTGCATCTCCGTTGATTCGATAAATCTATCTGCTTTATGGCTTTTCACGTGGTATTTTGCATACTATTGAGGCATTCATTGTCGTGTTGAGGCTTCCAGATGGATTGCTCTTAGCTACATGCCTCATCCATCTTAACCTCCGTGCCTTCATATCGTGATATTGATTGATCAGTTTCTGTAAGCAGCTGTTTATTGGTCTTTTTTCTCAAAAAGTATATGATCCCACATTGCTCCGGTTATCGTGCGTAGAATTTTTCAATCAAATCTTTCAATGCTTTTTTCTAGGGCTTTCTTATTATTATTTCTTATCTTTGAAATTTATTGAAATTTTTCAGGATTTGAAGTAATATCTGTGAAAGAGAGAAAAAAGCTCTATTTGCGCTTGTTATACGTAGGTCTATTTCGAACCGTTGGTCATTCATTGAGGTTATTGTAGACAAGAGTGGAATTTTCGGATTATTAAGAATTTTCGGCTTATTGATCTACTTCTCATATCAGAATTTCAATGAGTTTCTCAGTGTCTTCTATATTATTCGAAGGACAGTTATATCATACCCAAGGATTTTATGATTATTTAACATAGCTATTATTAGTAGGAAATCAATAATGTATTTTTTTAGGACAATTATTAAATTGTTCCGACCCCTCTAAAATATAATAATATAAACTATATTGAATGAACTCCCATTGGCTAAGACAATCTGACAATAATATGATTAAGGATAAGACCGCCCCCACTTGGGACTACTTAATATATACTGATCACTGGCTCCAATCACAAACCAGTCCACGATGTGTATTAACCAATGTAATTGAATAGAGACGCGCAGACTGGTTACTAATACATCAGTAACGTGTTAGTAATAAGTCAATGACAGCTCAAAAGTCTAGTAACTTCATGTTTCGGTATAAGAATCGTTCATTCTTTACTTTTACTTATCATATTATACACAATAAAATTATAATAAATCATATATTGTCGATTGTTGCAGGCAGCTACAGACGTCTCCTCCTGATCGCAGTGGCAATGGCTGTCCTGTCCGGAGCCATCGCAGCGCCACTTCAAGAACCATCTCTTCAGGAGGCACTCGCCTACATCAACACCTTACATGTGAGTACATCCAAAGAAAATAGGAAGTACTAGTAGGTATATTAAAACCACATAATGATCGAGAAATCAGCTGAAGAGAAAATAAATCTATACGAGAAAAGGAACACAGTTTTAAAACTCTCATACAGAGCCATAGGAGTGAATTCAAGTTCAAATCAGAAGCACGAACCATGAATATTTTGCCGACTATAGTTAAACTTTCATCAGTGCTTTCTAATAACACATTATATAAATAAAACCTATTGCGAGAAGAAAAAAGCCTTATATTGCTTTATTTATTATTACTTTTAAGTAGTTTACTATTTAAATATTTTATTACAAAATAATTATACTCTCGATATTGTTAACCAGAGCCAAGAAGTTTCCAACGGTAAGCTGAAAGACCTGTACGAGGCCCTGCTCAGGCGAGGCGGCGAAGACATAGAAGACGACGCCCTTCTTCAGGCCAAGATCATCGAGTTCCTCCAAGCCCATGACCTGCAGAACAAGGCTGACAAGAGGGCGAGTTGTGAGTATCCTCCACTCATTCTGATAAAGACCTAAACCTCTCTAGCCAGAACTAACACTTACAAACCTTCCAACTACGGGACGATCTCTAGAACTTTCAGCGCAGATTATCCTTCAGTGATCTTGTAGATCTTTGACAACCAGAACTAGCATTCTTCACTCCTGCTTATCTTGGGATATTGCTTTTTAATTTGCTACATAGATCTTTGTTCATTTGGAGTTTTGCCTCCCACATCTTGTCAAGTCAACATATTCTTCTTGTTTTGTTGAGCTTCATTATAGACTGAAAGATCCTGTAACTAGTTATTAACAAACGATCCAATTATCTTATGCAGGACTTTTCTCTCAAATCTTGCTTTATATATTTCTTACTATTAGTGTTGTCCAAATGCGAGACCGAGAAGAGTCTTGGTCTTGCAAACTCAGTCTTGGTCTTGCGCAAAAGTCTCGCAAGTCTTGCATCTACTTATTAGCATATTACTATAGAGATATTACAGTGATTTTTTTAGATACGAGAAACCTAACTAAGCCCGAATGAAAAATTAGAGGAGTTAAATGCAAAAGTTTGTGCCAATTATTAACATATAGTAACTAAGAATGTCAAGTATTAGTAACTATTTTGCCTTAATTATTATTTAAAAAATCGATTTTTTTTTTACCAGTCCTGGTCTTGGTCTTGCAACAGTTAGGCGGCCTTGGTCTTGCAAAGTGCAGGACCAAGACCGATTTTGGGCAACACTTCTCACTATGTAGCTAGTTAGACTCAAAGTCTCGTAGCAAAATTAGTTTTACTTGCTTAAGTTGATGTTTGAATATAACAACCGGTTACCAACTATATTTTACAAATTTAATCGACCATAACAAATGATTAATAAGAGACATGACAACAGCTGACATATTCCTGAATATTAGGATGAGGCTAAAAAGGCGTTGGATGTGAGATTTCTTTCTTAAACAAACTAAGACATTTAAACAAGTCAGGGGAGAGGTGATACTGAGTACTATCCTTCCATGCCTGACATGACATTATTTCTCGAATTTCAGCACATTTGCTGCTTGTCGATGCAAGTGGACAGGTGCGAATAAATATTTGAAACCAAAAAAAAGTTGAGGTTTTCAAACATTTTCATATTTCTAAACAATTTCAATACCCTGAAAAAACAAAAGGTTTGCGTTGCGCTTGTTAAACATTGGGCTGTTTCTGATAATTTGTAATATATTGAAGTTTTTGCCGAGTCTGTTTTGCCAGGAACGATTTTACACAGATTTCGATCTGTTAGTGTTAATTTGTCAACTTACTACCATAAGTATCTCCATTTATTTGTAACGAGTTTTGCTCTTCTTATTTTATCAGAGTCATGGCGAGATTCTCAAATTTATCTTAATAACTTTCGAGTACAATTACATCATCAGAATGTCCTAGAATTTCATGATTCGTTTCAACGTGCATCCATCCATTTTTAGGTAATGTTCTTATCACTTTTTACAGTGCTATGTTGAACCAAACCAGTTCACAAACTTCAAAAGATTCAACATCTGAATCAGATTTATGATCATTAATTTCAAGCCTTCGCCAATCTCACCATTTTCTCGGAAATTTCAAGCTGTCAGGATTTTCCAAAGGCAATTTCTGTACACCGAATCATACGATATTTTGGAGCTTTGCATATTCTAAGCTCCTCCCATCGCTTGAGAACATGTTTTAAGATGAAGATTCGGTCTAGTGTCCTCCTTTTTCTTCTAAATCATGTTCACCTATTACATTTTTACAATATGAATAAATCCGTTCAGCAGAATACTGTTCTTATATAGTATATCTTATACACAACAGGAAGGGGTGCCATACCTTTGTACTTAACGTACTCACACATGGATTCTTTATTTAGGATAGGAGAAATTCGGCAGTTATTTCAAAAACTTAGTTAGGAAGATAGTTCAAAGAAAAGTTTTCATTTATTCATCATTTCAAGATGTTATTTTTAAAATATATTAGATATCTGCTGTATCTTCTTTTCTTGTTTTCTTTGATATACTGTAGTTGTTAACGAATGTATGTTATGGTCCCTGGCGTATCGTTTTCTTCTTAGATATTTTCTGGATTAGCTAAGCCCAAAGACTGTGGCTTTTCTTCCATGTGGCCATTCTTCTTTTGAGCCTATTGAGAGCTATTTTCATACACAAAATATTTGTTTAGTAATCCTTTATGGATCGAGGTCCCCAACCTGGTCCAACTTGCCAATTTTTGCCAGGATTTCTAGTTGCTGTTTTTAACGTTTTGTTGATATTTTTCCTGTTAACTAAGTGTTTATTCAGTGTAGCTTAGGCAGATTTGGCAAGACAGAGGACTTTCATTTGTTTCCTTTCCTCCACCGCTCAAATTGGATTTGGCTTTTACTTCTGCGTTATTCAAATCACCAACTTCATCCCTCCTTTTCACTCAATCTCTTGTTTTATGGATTCGTTCCAAATTCTGATAGTTTGGATGGAGTTCTGGTCTTTCAAATCTATCAGCAATTTCATTTATAATACCTTTTAGCGCATACAGATGTACTTTCATTTTCAAATCATTAGAATTATTTGACTTTTTCTATAAAATTCAGAAGTAACAGTATATAGATTTCAATGTATTTTACATACGTCATTGAATCAAATATAACTCATTTAATAAAAATCGTTAAATTTAATGTATATATTTTTTTTTTTATAAAATCCTATTTAGTTTAAAATAATGTGTGCTTATTTCTGTTTTAGACATGTCATTGTGCCACTTCAAGATCTGTAACATGGGTAGGAAGAGGACTCTCTGGCCAAGGAACTAAGCACGCGTACTCCCATCCCCACTCCAGCAGTATTTACCCCCTCTACTCCATCTTTACCCCCATCTCTACCACCAAACTCATGTTTCCACACCTTCAACTACGCCTATCCCCTCTCCTCTACCCCTACTTCTACTACTACACCCCTTTCCTCTCCTATTTCGACCGGAACGGAGACAATTTCCCAGTCTTCCGCTACCGGTATCCGATCCCCAACACACTAGCGTACAATCGAACGACCGCCGACTCGTAATCAACTACAAAAGACATTATGAAGATTTCGAAAAAATCATTTTGATAAAATTAATGGGAGTAATAAAAAGATATAAAAGAAATTGGAAAATGATTTTAAAAAAATAACAACAAACATTGTAATTAATTGTAGTTTAAGAAAAATTTAATTTATATTGTAGACTAGATCTGTACATTAAATTTTTGTACCTGCCAAACATTAGAAAATGTTTAGTTTTACGTTGAGCTTCGTCCTTGTTATTTTATCTATATGTATATTTAATATAAATTAATTATTATTAATTTAATTTTATCTACTGTATATTCTTTGACTGATTAAAGATGTTTAAATGTGTAAAAACTAAATGTTAAAATAAAGCATTTTAAAAAATATTTATTCAATGAACCTGTAGTTTCCTTTCATTTTCTTTTTCTTTTTTCTGTCCTTCATAATTCCTTCTTAAGTGAATGAAAATTAATCCCAGATGTAATGGTAATAATACGTCAAAACAAAACATACTAGCATTAGAAAATAAGAAATATATAAATTAAGATAGCAGAACAGACCAGAGATAACAAATTCCACCGCCCTTCTAAAATAAGTTTTATTTTATTTATTTTCTTCTAACATCAGTTCTCATTAACTATGATTCTACCTATAGCCAATCAAGAGCAATTCTTAAATATAAGAAACTAACGGTTTTCTTCAAACAAAAATACATTGTAACTTAATAGAAAACGAAAATATATTTTAATACACCGTTATACTCTATTTTGTTGAAATAGTGTTATCGATATCAACTTCGTATATTTTTTGTAATTTTGTAAAACATCCACGAACATACCTTAATAAGTCTGAGGTACTTATAGATACTTGTTAATACAAAACTATTAGGGAAAATGTCAGTGTCCAACAATCTTTTGTTGCAACAATTGCAAATTTATTCCTTGGATTATAAAATTCCTGGACCATGGAATAACATATCTCTAATGTCAGGGTAAAAGGTCTTATGTACCATTTTTACATGTTTATTCTCGTTGCGCTAAAGGTGACATTTTGTTATCTGCAATAAGAAGTCTGTTAAATAGGAGAATAGAAGAGGGAAATGAAATATGAAAGCATACTAATAAATCATAAAGAAATAATAGGTTTTTTTACTCTTGCATTAGCAGTAACGATATTTAAATGACCTTTGACATAAGTTCTTATATGAGATAAAGATCGAACAAAGTATATACAGCAAAAATGACGTCATATGTGGCTGCTAAAAAATCGTTCCTGCCTAGGCTAACCTATTACAGGGATGAACCATATCATCTAGTTAAGTAGTGCCCTGTTTAACAAGTATGTATAAAATATATTTTTTAAATTAATAGCTAAGAAGTAATTAATTGAAAATACAATGATATTTTTTTGAAAAGATACATTGATTGAATTCATACAATTTTAACAATATTTTTCATTCAATCTTTACCATTATTTTATTTTTTCAATAAAAATAAATTACAAATTTGATAATTTTACATTGAATATATTTAATCACTAGTTATATTCCCATATGTCCGTATTTTGTTTAACTGTTTCACAATTGATTGATCATTAGAATGCAATGCTAATTTCACATTCTTATTTCAAATTAAATGAATGAAACATCAGATCTTTCAAGCAAAAACATTCAGGACAGTTACAAAAGTACCATGATATATTAGCAACATAACGTTACAAACTGACCTTCATAAGCCGACTGTTAACAAACAAACCCGTTACAAACGATTCCATGACAAATAACAAGGACACCCCAACACACTCATAAATGACATGGCCACAACAAAGATGCCTAGTTACGTCCGTAAAAGGTTGAAGAAGAGCTGGATGAGAGACCTCCTCACCTAACAATTAATGCAGCTATCACACAACGAGGAAGAGCCGCTGGATACTGCTTCCTTTCATGCCTCTGTTGTCACGAATTCAATAAGAAATCATCAATTTTACTGATTCTCCTATTATTTTTGACAGGTATGAAAAAGATTATAGGACAAAAAGAAAAATTAAAACAGTTTATATCTTGTATTTACAATTTCACATTTCAAATTAAATAAATGAAGCTTCAGATCAGTTACCGAAGTACCTTTGTATGTTAGCAACATAACCTTATACACTGACTGACCTTCATAAATCCGTACGTCGAAGTTACAGACTCTTTATTTTCTATTTTTGTTCATACTAATTTTTTTTTTTTATCTTATTTATATATATATATATATATATATATATATATATATATATATATATATATATATATATAATACTTTATATTTTAACTACATTGTCACCCACTATATCTCTGATATCATCTTTTTATTTCTTTATCACTTCTTATTCTTATTTTATATCTACTTATATTCATTTATTTTATTTTCACCATGTACCTTTTATATTTTGTATCTTTTGTAGGCCTGATGAAGACCTGCAAAATGGGTCGAAACGTCGGAAAAAAATTAAATAATACTATTTCTTTTATTTAGTATTTATTTGACCGCACCCCCCGATCAACTCCTTCTCATATAAGATTTCCTCTTTCTCTAATAAGACAAGCAGAGCAAATCGGCCTAACAGCAAATGAAAAAAAAACAATAATAAATTATAATAAGCCGAAAATAACAGGATACGTTCAGAAGGGACATCGTTCCTGAGAGTAGATAAATTCAACTACCTCGGTTCCACAGTCATTTTAATGAATGACCAACAGTTGAGTATAGACCACCATAGGCGAAGACTTTCCATTTCGACTGGGGCGGGGTGCAACGACAAAAAATGAAAACTAAAAAGTAAGTAGTTCTTATTATTTGTAAAAATTTAACATAATTATTGGGAAACGATCAATATAATATTAAATATTTAAAAATAAGTTTATATATATTTTTTTTGGAAGATGTAGAATTGTTTTATGTGTACATGGATATACTTGAAAATATCTGAACAAAACAATTGGATTTATAAACATTAAACATGGAGGGAAGTGGGACAACCTCCGTAACAGGTACATTTCTATAACTTCTCCAGCTAAAAATGAACAATGTTAAAAAAATGAAAAATATTTTTGATTTCTCAGTTCACACAAAGTTAAAATAAAAATATGTTTTCACAGTCTATAAAGGAGTAGGGGTAGCTCAGTGGTAGGGTACTGAGCTCCCAATGCTAAAGGTCTCAGCTTCGAATCCCGGCTCATGGCAGAAAAATTATTTATGCTGTTTCATTGACCGTGTAACACTGGGTATATAGACCCTCTTGGGGCACACCCAGCCTCTATAAAGTGGGTACACTTAATTAAAATAATTAAGTAGGAAAACAAAGCGGTTGAGCGCGATCTCAGTCAAATCACCTCCTTGCACAACTGTAGACCAAGAAACAGTGTTTTTCCCAAAATAATACTGAACCCAAGACCGGGTTGTAGTGGTACATGTTTTTTTGTTTTTTTTTCACAGTCTATGGAAAAAATGTCTATAAAAATATTCTCTATAAAATATACTTTACTCATAATTATTAAATTTATTATTTCCAACATTATCTTAGAAAACTTATATGAAAATCACGCGAAAATGGAGATGTACACATGAGAGGTGAATGAATCATAAAATCCTAGGAAATTTTTCTAAATAATCATCTCTGAATATAAATGAAAATTTAAATAATAGGAATATTTCGATCGTGATAAAATAGTTACGTACCTACTTATAGGCCTTAGCCTAGCAAGCTAGTCGAATTTTCTTAATCGATTTTAGTTTACATATTTTATTCATTCCTGCATCTTATTTGTTATTAATTTTAATTTATTTTTTACTTCAAATTTTTGAGAGTGATACAATATTTTTTCGCCCCCTCAACATTTTTATTGGAGGGGGCTATGGTTCTGGAGATGGAGAAGGCTTTTTAAACAAAAAAATTTAAATTAAACATTAAAAGTTTGTAAAACTTAACTAATAAGCAACAAAACGATGGTAAGTAGTAAATACCTTACTATATGAAGCAGAGATGGGTAACCGCAACTCTGAGTACCGAGCAGCAGGTATTTTACTCAAATTGAACCACCATTGGGAATTCAATCACTACTTCAATTAATCCTTTGACATCAACTGAAGCAGTGATTAAATTATTTGGTACTCAAAAAAGGTCAGTATTTGAGTAAAATACTTGATACTCATTACTCAGAGTAGCTTTTGAACATCTTTATATTATAAAGTATGTTCTATAAAAAAATCATAAACATTACAACAAAAATATATATATACTAAATAACCATTCCACTAATCATTCACAAACTGCCTGGACTCTTTGCAATGTTTCTATCCTTAAACATTTTATTTTCGTAGTCTTGAAATTCCTCACTTTTACCGAAGGTTGGGAAGCTTTGTATTCGTGCGGGAGATCAGAAAACATTATTGTGCTCAGAATCGAAAAATTCTACTACAGTCATCAATGATCAAATTTGGTGTCCGCCTGTCTGTAGTAAAAATTTATGTATCTTTTTTTCTTTAAGTGTAGTAAACTATACAATATTGTCATAATATCCTTTTTCACAGGATTTTATTTAAGGGAGGATTACTGTAAAGGATTGCTGTACGTAATTACTTAGGGCTTTCCAATCAACACCTTTCAATAGACTAAATCATTCCTCTGCCCACCAAAATATTGTCCCTAATCTCGCTGTAGACATGACAGGACCCCAGGAAGTGAATGGTGTCTTTTTTCCCCGAAATTAAAAAAACAGACAATCAACGTTGGTTTCCTGCACCCACGGTTTAAAACTTAAATCAAGCAATTCCGTCCTGTATCGTAAAGTTGACTTTATCAATACAAGATGAAAAATGTCATTGAGGTAGGGTAAGGTCATACAGTATCAAAATCACAATAATCCTGCGTATACAGAAAACTGATAGTGAAGACATTTTTCATGTCGGCGTAACTAATAATAAAATATTATTTTAACAGATAATTTTTATTTGACTGAGCCCCCTCCTCCT